AGAGCAAGCTGCTTCCTCTGCCGTAGCACGAGACCCTTTCGCCTCACCCGGGCGTCCTCCCCTGCAAGCGTCTGCCTGGAGGGCGCCGGCTCCCTCGCGCCCTGCCCTGTAAGGGGATGGAAGCCTGTCTGCAGAGCCACGAGAACACCCGAGCACAGCCTGCAGACCTGAGCGACAGAGCTGCGGGGCTGGGATTCAGGCAGCTGGCCGGGCGCCGGGGGCGGTGGAGGCGGGGGGGGCCATGACGCCGGCTGGCGTTAGCAGCTAAGAGCAAGGGGAGGCGCTTTTCGTTCACCTGCCGCGCTGCGTCCTGGAGTTGTTTTCCCCGAGGGAAAGCTGTGCATTCAGATCCCGAAACACACTCGAAAGTACCAGAAAAACAGGCCTAGAAGAGCGACGGCCAGAGGCCGTAGGGCCGCTGGCTGCAGCTGAGGCAGGCCCAGGCCCCAGCTGGCGTCCTGCTCCTCCCTACTCCCTTTTCGGGGGGGGCGCACACGGGTGGTCCATGCCCTCTTCTGTCCCTTGTCTCCCTGTGTACCGCGGAGTGGACTCTTAGGGCTCGACGGACGTTCCCGCCCTTTGGGAATGGTCACACTCTTCCTAGCTCTTAAGAGTTAGGCTTTCCTTTCTCCCCACTTTACGTCCCAGGTCCCCCTTCCGGGGTCCCCTCTGGACCCAGCTGAGAAAAGAGGGTTTTCCTGAGGCAGAAGGGAGAAGGACCAAAACAACCCTCGAGGCTCGGCAGCCTTTCGAGCTCGATGAGGCCCCAGGAGAGGCCTCCGGAGTCTGAGCCGTCTCTGTGGCCAGGGCCCCTCGGACCGTCGTCACCGCCAGGGAGGATGGTGGCCGGCTGTTGTCATTCCTTGCTGAGAAGCAGCAGGTGCGTTTCACCTGAGGCAATGTGTGTCTCAGTTTCGGCTGTGGGCTGCCAGGTTACCCATCTGTGGCAAACAGCAGACAGCAGCACCTGCCAAGTGGTGTCTTCCCCTTGAGTGGGGAGGGAGAGGCAAGGAACCGGACGGCCTCTCCGGCTCACAGGCTCATTTCTGTGGGATGGTGGGGCACGCCAATATACGGACGGCAGCAGGGAGGCCCTTCATGGGCTTTGGAGGCACTTTCTCAGCTCTGGTTGAATCTATGTAAAGAGCAACCATTTCTTAGCTCAGGAGTTCAAGACCACAGTGAGCTATGATCATGCCACTGCACTCCAGCCTGGACCACAGAGTGAGACTCCGTCTTAAAAATAAATAAATAGCCGGGCTCAGTGGCTCAGCCTGTAATCCCGCGCCTTTGGGAGGCTGAGGTGAGTGGATTGCCTGAGCCCGCGGGGTCGAGACCCGCCTGGGCAGCGAGACCTCATCTCTACAATAATCAAAAAAATCAGCCGGGCGTG